ACATTCAAACAGTAGTGGAATGTAAATAGAAAGCTGACCTTCATTTTGACGGCGTATACGGTAGTATCCTTTTGGATCGCTGTCACGCAATGGATATGTTCGTTGCCAACAGCGTTAATACTATCGTATACGCCGTCAAAATGAGCTCAAGCCTTATGTGAACCTATTTTGCATTAACCATTATGTTACAGTAACTGACCAAATAGCCAAGCACACAGATTCTCAACTTACGTCTTAGATGAATAAAGTGTAGGCTACCATGTTTTTGTATGACTATGGAGAATAAAAACTCAGTAATGAGATTTTTTTATTATATATTTAGATATTAATTATACTTATCTTTGATTTATTATTCTGTAGGTCATAAACTTGTTCGTGTATAATTTCATGAAAACCACCTTATTCTGAAAACAATTTGCTCTAGAAGGAAATGCCTATGAAACGCACCGTCTTACGCTGTAAAACGAAAAGTCAATTTGCTACGACGCCATATATCAGCACATAAAATGGTCTAATACGGCCGCTAATGAACTTAGGGACATCCGCCAATAAAACCATGTCTTTACAGGTTAAGAAACACCACCGCCTGATCAAAGTCCCGGAGAAAATTAACATGAACCTGAGCTTAGCCATGTACTAAAATGTATGTTATATTGTCGCTGTTTAATATATTAAATTACGTAGGGTCGTACTTGGAACCCTTATGATCGTGCATTCTTTCAACCAAATGCTTCAAAATATTGAAATCCAACAAGAAAACCCCGCGTTTGTACTCATTACTAAAGGAATCATTTTTGGTTGTGTTGAAAATTGAAAACATACTGCACTTTGAATACTGGAAAACATAATTAAATACTTGGTTGTAGAAACTCTATCAATCTCTGACGACATGAATACTCCACTATTTGCAAAGAGCTGACAAGTCAGAGACTACACAATTCTCTTTGTTAGAATACATCTATGTGCTAGTATATATATCAGATTTAGGATTCCTTAGAACAGCAGCACGGGATTACCACAGTGACGTCACCTTCCCAGAAATGCATCAATTTCCACTGATATGAGGAGCTTGTTATCTATACAGCATGCCATGGCTCTAATATTACTTTATTATATTAATATATACAGAAATGTTATTTCAGTACACAGTGGAACACTGATAATGGAGTGGAACCATTTTCCTTTCATATCTATGTGTGTAGAATACCCGTATTGCATGAGGGACATCAATAAGAGATAACTCTTTCTCTCAACTTTACTAGGAATCCCCTCACACTTTTATCATCGTTTTTTTCTAGGAAAAACAAATCTGTCTTGGTCTACCAGACATATCGAGCACGGATCACTACCTCACATACAACACCATTGCTGCTGGCGCAGTGCATTGAGTTCAAGGGTACAATTCGAGAGTTCTTTAAGGATGAAAAGCGTGTGAGAGAAAAATGTAAATCACTCCAATGCGATGTAAACAGATAAACATTTAACCCACGGGATTAAATTTCTCTGTCTACATCACACCGGCGCTAATAGAATCTAAAAATACCTCATAGGCACACCCACTAACCTGTGGTTAGGCAACTACTTTTCTTAATCCTGACCAAGATTAGAACTTTATGAAAACAAATCGCTGGAGTTTAAGATGTTCAGCACGTTGGCGGCTGACGTTCTAAAACGTGACGTTATTGAAGGATTGATCTGCATTTTGACGGCGTATACGGTAGTATGAACGCAGTTGGAAACGAATATATTCAATGGTGAACGTTAGCGCTCCATAAACAATATGTCCGTTGCCAACTGCGTTCATACTACCGTATACGCCGTAAAAATGAAGGTCAATCCTTATATTTACATCATAAATAATGTTCAAATGTTAAACAAAGAAAACAACATTCGCAGCGGATTGATGCAATGGTAACCCTGGTAGCCGTTGTTGCTAGGATAATATAGTTCCGGTGAATCTACATCGATATATGGATAAATTATGGAAATACGCAAAGAATAACACTATTGTTCTTCTTTTCGTTGCTTTAAAACAAATTTAGAAGTAATATTATTAGCACTTAGAACATATTAATTCATTTATAATGGTCGTTTTGTACACGCATTGACACGCTGCTCTGATAGTGACGCGGTCGAACGTTGCAAAAGGAAGCCACCATTGCTTAACTTACCGTCAAAGAAATTTGAATGAGTATTCATCGAATAAGAAGTTTGCCAGCATCCCTTTGTTGTAGAATCAGACACAATGGATTCCGAATATTTTCCATGTTTCTAGTTGTTGAAGGAACCAAGCAATGGCTGTCATCAAACAGGTATCTCGCTTAAGCGAGAACGGCGTCATATTTGAAACAGGTATCAATCCGCCGAGCCTTTTTTCATTGCGTATACATGTAAATAGTCCAGCTTAATATGTGACGTCATTAAATTCTCCTTTTCAACAGCGAAATAATATCTATCGTCAAAACATCATCCAGAACGAACATCGCCTCACAGAATAACACTTACAAAAAAATGTTTGAATGCCTATATACATACTGATATAATTGAAGTATACAATATTAAAGTCTACAATTTGTATGCCATACTTTTTCCATTCCATCCAAATGTATTAGGTATATTACTTTACTTATTTACTAGTTATCGGAAAAAAAATCCACTCAGGTGTTTTTATTTAAATCTGTTATTGCATTTACAATATGAAAGTCTATCTTTCAAAAATCTCAGGTAAGAGCGGAGGAGCTTCCATGAATGAAACTTATTAATTTATGTTACGAGTGGTGTGCTTGCTACGGATAGAATCACCGCAGTACCACACTTCACTCAAATCCTCTGAACCTCATCTTTAACTAAACCGTAATGCCCTACACTGTGCACAAGTAAGTGTTCATTTATAAGCGCATTACCCATGAAATAATCAATGAGCATCATTAGTCGTTACTCGGACTCCGTACTATAGTTTCATAGAAGCTGAAACAGTATGTTATCAGTATTTATGAAATCATCGATATTTTTCGCGTGTTGCAGAAAGATATCTCCAAAATTACAAAACATACCTCACGCACTTATTCAGGGTGGTATCTGGTCTTCTCCCTGTTTTTATTCGTTTGGACAATATTCCTGATAGTTTTTGGCCGATGATAAGGTTGTTTTTTTTGTGTGCTTATCTACTTCGTCCCCGCGTTTTCTATCACAAAAATGCTAACTTACACGCGAGATTGGACGCAGTAAATAGGCTCGTGAGTCTAGAGACTAAGTCGGCATGTGATGTGATTCTCCGTGTGTTTCCGAACTTGACCTATATAATGTGTGCAAGGAACGTGCGAAACGAAACCCTAATTAATTACAAGCCGTGTTCCACGACGAGAAAAAAATATCTCCAGATATGTTTGGGAAATGTCACATAAACAACTTCGCATGCAGAAAGCCAACATTTCACTAATTACTCTGTCACCGTCTGTATACACCAGGAAAACAGTCTATAAGGCCTAAGTCTGCCAGGCTTCTCATCCTCTCAGTTGCTGGACGCAATTTACCGAGAAAGGAGATTACTATCGAAATACGTGCTACATGTGTTCTTTCAAACGTGTTTGTTTCTTTTTAACATTTTTTGCCTTGTGCATCAAAAGTTCAGTTCATGGAAACAGGCATGTTTTTTAACCTTTCATTTGCTTCTTAAGTAAACCTTGATTTTACCACTTAACATTACATGAGCCTGTCAATTCAAACAAGACCAAATAGCAAAGAAGCAATGTTGCCTATGATAACATTGAGTAAGCAGGTAGCTATAATAGGTTCAACGTTGGTTGGCAAAATATTATTTTGAAAATACCTGGAGGGAAACATAACGAAATTTTTCATTTTTATTCAGATCAGCCGAAGAAAAGGAAACTGCAAACACAGTGGCCCTATCACTTAATATTACAGACAAAAATAATCATTATTTCAATACACTATTGAAGATGTCCATTTTGAATGTTTTACGACGTTTTGGGAAACGTTTTTTCTCAGGTATCCTTCTTGAGTAATTTACTCTAAATGTTTCATAAGACCTACAAAGTCCTGACTCCATTTCATCAACTTTTTTGTGTTTGAAAAATTCTGAAACGTTGACCAAGCATGGAACAAAGCTAATGAGATTTGATAAACTCGAAATTGCAGTGTTTGGTTGTCTCCCTTTGATGAAAGTTAGAAGAATATGTAACTTCTTGTGTGGATAAAGCCGGATTATGGTACTGGTGCCAACCAACGGTCTCTAAAAGCGTCTTCATACCTAATCAAATGGCAACTTCCAGGTTTTACCATCGCTATTTTGATTAAATCTGTATTCTCTCTTGCGGTATCCATGACGCCGAAATCCCCTCGAGTACAGCTGTGGTGTATGTTAAAGCACTAAAACTTGGAACATATGTAGCCATTGCGATCTCCTGAATAAAAGTCAACGATCTCATTCTGTCTCGAATTACTCTTCTTCATCTGAACAATCGCTTACATAAATGTTTAAACGTGGGAATACAGGCTCCCGTTCGATTTTTAACGCCTACTTATTTCATCATATGATGTTTTAAGTACACGTTCCTTAGGGTTCTCTCGACAACTTTTCTTTGACACATTTTAAACAAGGCTCGTCGCTCTACCATTCACGACTTTATTTGCTTTAGTAAGACTCGTCACTTTATTGTTAACGGCTATGTTTTTCAATAAAACTCGTTAATAACTGTTCATATTCACTGATATGTAAAATTTCACTTTACGTATTACTTTGTGCTAACAATGAGGCAATGTTTTGCTTCGGGAGTGCTATGTCACCATCAGTTCACAGAAAGGAATTGTTTAAGAAGGCTTATTACACAATTATTTCACATATTGTTACAAAACACTTATCAGAAGAAAAATCTGTACTGCAATCACTGAGAACACGTAAAACAACAATATTGTCGTAATGAAAAGCTATTATTTGATAAAGTATAAAGGGTGCGACAGGGATAGATAATGGCACCTACCTCGTTCTTCGTGAGATGTTGGGATTTCGGCTTGATGGCGAACTGTGTCTCCGATGGTGGGTGTCGATCGTGGCCATCCTGAGAAAGAAAACAAATGAAAATAGAGACTAAGACAAAAGAAATAAACAATAAGGACTATATTTTTTTATTTTTATTTTTTTTAATTACAAAATTACAAAAATCCATAATATCATATTAAAATTGAAGGTCACACATATAGCAAAGATATCTTCATGTTTACGAAGGGTGACAATGTAATCTTACAAATTGCATAGGATTTCATACGAGCAGTTGTTCTTTGTGACTTTCCTGAGGACTACAATGTATCATAGAGTGAAAACTATGTTTATGGACTAGGTTCCAGAGACACATAGCTAAATATGCGATAACAACCTCAATGCATATGCTTTGGCGGATATTAAAGGTAGTTCAATCTTTACAATGAAAATCATTAAAATATCTAAAGGAGAAATTAGAAACCGAGTTTTAATACAAGATATGCCATATAAGGTCCGTTTAAAACATACGAATTTGACTTCTGAGACTAATTACATTAAGATTAAATCTTTTTAACCAATCTCAGAATCAAATCAATTTGTCGACGAAAGAATCAATACCTTGGGGAAAATCCTTATTCATTACAAATGGCTTTGAAATAAAGTGACACGAATTATTTCATGTTTACTATCCTGATTTGCCTTCGCAGGGGATTTCGTCATTGTGATTGCAAGTTAAACCAAGCCCTTTGCGAGTGTAATGTTCGAAAGCTTTATAATTCATATCAGAAGCAAGTCTAGTACTTATTTTTTTAAACCGTTTGTTCATGATTATTTAGTTGCCGTATGCCGAATATGGTGTGTGGATGGGTTGCTGGCGGACGTGGGTGGAGGGTGCGGGGCGGACGTCGGCGGGGTGGAGGTTGTGGGGCGGACGTAGGCGGGGTGGAGGTTGTGGGGCGGACGTCGGCGGGGTGGAGGTTGTGGGGCGGACTTGG